CACAGTCTTTGTACAATAAATCATTCTAGAAGTTGATAAGAAGAGTGAAAGTGTATACACTGAAAAATATGATTTATTAAGTCTACACAACATCTTTTTGAAATGAGAAGAGCTGATAATAAAAGCAGAGACAGCAGAACCAGAAGGGACAGAAGTAGTGAGAGTAGAGGTCGCGGGAATAGAGGTAGCAGGAGCAGGAGAACCAGACACAGAGACAGGTGTAGAAGATTAGAGAAGAGTGACAGAGAAAGAAATAGAGAGAGCAGAGAGAGATGTGAGAGACCTGATTATATATAATATGAACAATTTCTTCATTATCATGTTCTTTAAGTTCTCAATCAATGATTCAATATTGAGTTCACTATTATCAGTAGATGTGAATCTGTCAATATGTGAAGATTCTATATAAATAAAAATAAACATATCAGTATCTGTATTCACATAAAATTGTGTCAGAAAATATGATCAGAAACCTGCTGAGAAGAAAAATGATTAAGAGTGTATAAGAAGATAAAGAAGATATATTATTTATAATAACATATTCTGACAATTGTTAGAAGATAAATAAGTTCTGATTACATACATTTCATAACACATTACACTTACTGCTAATAAACTGCCTGATATGAGCACTATGATGAGACTTGTTGTGAGAATGAGAGATCATTGCCAGGAACACATACAATGTAATAGATAAACAGATAGAAGGTGTTGAACAGAAGAAGAGACAGTAATCTTGAATAAGATAGTAATGATGTTTGATGATTATGATGATGAAGAAGATAATTGAAGAATGAGAAAAGTTAGTGAATGAGTGATGTAATATAGTGAAAGTTTCTTTGTGAGAGTGTATATGAGATACTAGCTGAATCAGAGATAGGTCACATGATTGTGAATGCTAGTGACATGCTAATCTGCATGAAGCTAGAACAGACATTATAATCATGTAAGTATGACTGAATCTGATGAGGGGGAATGTGATTTGAAAGAATGTATGACTGTCAGATAATAATGCAGCCACTTCTGAACTTGCTTATGAATGTAAAGAGGTCATAGCAGCCACTAATTAATTTAGTGTACAATATATAAGAAGCCGGCGTACACCTGTAATCGTACGCTGGCTTAAGCAACCTTTGAATCACAGAAACTAGAACATGATTATTTCAAATCTTATATATAAAGATTTAATGATAGATTTGATTTAATAGAATGCTTATTCTATAATACAAATGAAAATTCTGAGTATATTGTAATACACTGTGTATTATACAATAGTCTCAGAGTCAGATTGAAAGAGAAGTATAATCTAAATCAATTAAATATAAGATTCTTATTCTCAACTGAGACAGAAATTAAATACTTAATAGACTTTCTATCAAAAACTTAAGCAGCTATAAGAAAATAGCTAAATTCAGAAATATCTGAATATGAAGAGAAGAAAATTAATCAGATATAGTCTGTTAAAACAGCTATACACTATCTTTTAATAATTTATTTTATTATAGTCTCTCTTTACTTTACTTTTTCTTTTCTATTCTTTTCTATCTATCTATTTAATGTGTCTATCTTTAAGACTATCTTCTCTTTTCTTTTGTTATTATATTATTAAATGGTTTCAAAGTATCAGAAGATGTTAAAATACTACAATTTATAAATAGTTTTTCTATTCTGAGCTGAAATTTTCTGATTTTGCATATCTGAAATTGATAAATGTATAATAGTTGACTTTATAGATATAGGAAAAATTCTGAGAACTAAAAGTTCTCAGATAGATGTCATAGTCTCTGACTATATACATCTATAATTGAATAATAATAATAATAATAATAATAATTCAGTTTTATATACACTTTTATAATTGACTTTCTTTATATTATCAGCTCTTTAAATCTTCATCTATTAATTGAGAATCAGGGAAAAGATTCTTGTTTGCAAGAATATAAGATATATTAATCAAAATCACTTTTAATTTAATTTCACAGTGCTAGATGTTATAGTCTTTCAGCTATGAGAGCTTTGTAATAATCTTCATTTTAACATAACTGTAATCATTCTTGAATTCACAGAACTTATCTGTTTCAGTGACTTGATTCACAGCTGTAGTAAGATTGAGATTTATTTCTTATTTTTACAGTTATTACTCATAGGTGATTTTCACTATATCTGTCTCAGAAAACTCTGTCTCTTATAAATAAGTAAAGTATATCATTATTTCAGTGATCTTATCAGTGAGACTATCTTAATTAAATCTATCTTGAGTAAGTGTAAAGTGTTCTGTTAAGAGAAGATCTTCTCTCTCTTTTAAACTTGTATCACATTCTATATTCATTTTGATTTAAATCTTTGAAGCTGTCTGAGATGATAATTACAGCTCAAGCAGCTCTCATTCAGAGATATTATATGTATATATTAACTATGTTAAATATCTTCTACTTCTAGTAATTAGTATAGATTCAAGTGAGACAGTGTTATCTTTAACAGTGAAACTGCTCACAGGGATATATTCACTGTCTATACTTCTATTTATGTGAAAATGCAGAGATTACTTACAGACTTATTATGAAAGTCTGTAGTAAGTTGATTGATTTTAAAATTAACAGAGTTCTTTTTAATCTGTGATGAGTGACTGCAGAACTACTAATAGAGTGTTTAAAATGTAATTAGATTTTTAATTTAAGTATGAAGTATAAGACTATAGCAACTTAGAGTGAATTCTTATATATAAAAGAGACATAATCTGATGAAGATGATATAATGTAGCAGTTAATTATATTATTGAGATCTAGCTATTGTGCGGTCTTTTATGTGTGATGAGCATTCATTGAGTAATCAGTGAACACCTCACTTATACAGAAGCAGTCAGCCTGTAGAGAAAATCTGACAGAATATATATTTTGAATTATCTATATTTGTTTATATTTATATTTTTTGTATTTTTTATTTATTCTTTTATTATACTCATATGTAAGTGAGACTAATAATGAGTTTTTATATGATATTAAATACAAATCAGATGTTAATTATACAGAAGAAAATACAGATATTAAGATTATATTAAGATAATAAGAATATAAAAAATATAAATAAGTAACAATTACATACATATAATAATAACTTTTTAGCTCAGAAATATAGAGTGAATTATTATAGTAATTTATACATGTCTGTATTTATTAAAAATCTGAGATACTTGAGTTTTAAATTTAATATATCTTCTGTAAGTTTTAAATCTGTATATTTTAATTTCTCATGCTAAGATACTTCTGAGTAGCCGCATTAACAATTCAGTCACTAAGAATATTTTGAATTATTAAATAATTGATTGAGTCAGAACCTGTAGCAGTTTTAATTGAACTTTTGAAAATAGCTAATTCTAGTTCATTTTATATAAGCTTAGGTCATTCCCAGGCATTCTTATCAATATATTTATTAAATGAAATACCTTTTTCTTCTGAATCTGATGAGTTTTGAAAGAGAATTCTTATGAATACTTAATATTTTTTTTCAAAAGAATCAGCTATATATAATTCATTTTGAAATTCATATTCTAAAGTTGAAAGTGTTACTACACTTCTTGTTTTAATATAGTTAAAAGCTTTAAAGATTTTATTTTCTTATGCTTCTTTAAGAGACTTATTTTAACAATCTCTTTTAGCTTTTTTAATATCTGAGAAATATTTATTTCTGATAGTTTTAAACTCATCATCATAATCATTTATAAATAAACACTGAAGATTTAATCTTTATACTGCTGATTAAAGTATTACACTTAATCATGTTCAACTGATGATTTAATAATTTCTTTAATCAAATTTAAATAAATCTGAGATGTAACAGCAAGGTCACGCTCTGCTAGACAATTCATATAAGGTAGAAAAGTTCATTCTTCAGAATTTATAAGTATTTAACAGAAGATTGAAATAGCTTTCAATCTTGAGATCTGCTGATCTTGAAACTGTCATATCAATATAATGTAATTGATTTCATATTTTTTAACAGCAGCAGTTTAATTAGAAATCAATTCTTTATCAAGTTTATCAATTACTAACTGAATAACATGTTTGTTGACCATATTATGTGTTGATGAAGAAGATGAATATGAATGATAAGAATTACAAAATTAGCAATCATTAGATAAGAGTAGACTAGCTGCTAAGATCATGAATTTCACATTTAATCTCATTTAATCTGATCTCATACATTTCTTAGCATGAATTCTGCTGAGACTAATCATTAAAGTAACATGCAAAGTGACTATATATCAGATCTCAAAATGAAATCATGACTTATCTTATTTGATTTCATTTAGTTCTATTCTTGGTATAAAGTTACTATTTTTAGACATTTTAAGATTTTTTTTAGACTATTTTTAATTTTTTAAAAAGTAACACTTTTTGATAATGCTTAAATAAGATTTAAAGTCATTTAAAGTAATAAAAATAATTTAAATTGAGAAGTAGAAATCATGATCTCATTTGGAAAATGTGACAAGAGTAGACAGTAAGTCCCACTGGGACAGTATGGGACTACTATCTAATGTTAAAACAGTGTAATGGGATCAGTTGAATTGGTAATGGGACCATCAAATATTCTGGTCCTGGTCCCAGACACGGTCACACGGTCAGTCTAGGTGGGAGTGATCGTTAAGTGGGTGATCACGTTAAGTTAAACAAATCATTTCAAGCAACAGAATCAGAGGTTGTTTAGCTGCCTCTGCTGTAACAACATGCGATGCTCTCAGAAGGAATACCTGGCGATGCACGCTTGGGGAAGCTGTAGATATGTCTGATATCCACCTATACATGCCAGGAAGGATGGACCCGGCGCAAGAGAGTCAGTCAGCAGTTGCCAATTTGGCGGATTCCCCCCACTCGAAGAGCCCACTCGCTGCATCAGACAACGCATTTTTGGAGTATCTACATCGATGTTCAGATTCAGTGCTCAGGAAGATTTCTCTCCATCTGGAAGAACTCATTGATTATCCCCGTCTGACTCGGTTTTTAGATCCATCATTAATCAAGAAAGTATGTGGTCTCGCTGGGCAGGATGGCGTTGTTCGTTCATTTTTGTCCTCCTACTATGTTATTATCTCGGATCTCTTGCTGCTCTGACAGCAGTTCCAGATCCGGACACCCCTCATACATCTCCAGAGCTGGATCCGGTATCTATATCAACAACCAGTGACTGGCTGAATTTATTGGGCAAGATTGAGAGCTTTGTCAGGTCGCAATTCCGTTTTCTAAGCCGCATCACACCTTCTCTAGAGAGCGGATTCCCGAGCATTTTCCAGATGTTTCCTACCGCTCAAGATCTAAGGCAGAGTGTCAATACCTCAGAAACATTCCTCCAGCATGTGGCCACAGAAGTCCTTACTATATCGTGAGTATTGTAGATTTTTGCAAGATCTATTTTTCACTTGGCCTCCAGAAGGCAGCCAATGATTTTGTTTCGGCTTACTGATCATACCACTGGCAGGCCATATGGGAACTGGACTGACCAAGGATGGAGTCTGAGGTTTCGCGGAAGTGTTTACAAGCAACCCAATATTGCGGATAGAATGTTACACACCCTTGCAAGCATGTTTTTACTCGGTGCTTCGATTAAAAAGCTCCCCCCAGCAAATTATGCGCACTCCCTCAATATGACACGAAGCGTGTTTATTCTGAAACAAAGTCATACGAAAGTCTCGTTTCATGTGACCCCTGACACGTCTCTGGACGCTCATAGTGAAGACACATTGCTTTGGACGGAAGGGCAGGACATTGAGGTCCCCGGCGTCACGAATATGGAAGGCGATTTCGATTCATTTATCGAGATTAAGAACGTGTCAGGGGCGTTTCCGCTACCTGGAAACGAAACTCGCAAAACGCAGCGTCTCAAATTGCATGCGTATGGGACGGATACTGGAAATGCCACAGCGTACCTCATTCCACCCCGAAGGGCTCACGCTGATTAGTGATATCGATGATGTCCTTCGAGTGTCGAAAATATTCTCAATAAGGGAAGGGCTGAATAACCTCTTTGGCCGACCTTTTGTTCCCTGGATGAATATGCCTGAGATATATGCGAACTGGTCAAGAAGCCTGCCGGATCTACACTATCACTACCTAACAACAACTCCCGAACAACTGACTCGCCCTTACATGGATTATATCTTCAAGACGTATCCGACCGGCACTTTTGATACTAGAATTGTGAATTTCACTGATTTAGGAGCGACTTTGTCAATCCGCGAGTTTTTGCTTGATAAGGTCTTCCAGACTTTTCCAAAGCGAAAATTCATCATTGTAGGAGATACAACAAATTTGGATATCATGTCATCATATCCCCAACTTGTGACAAAATACCCCGGCCAGGTCCAGTGTATACTCTTGAGAAACACATCAGCTTCGGACAGCAGCAATCGTGTACCATACAATACCAAGTGGTTCAAAGGACTAGACCAACAAATGTACATGTTTTTTCGCGTTCCTGTAAGTTCCTCCAGTGTCTCCAGTCATTAGGTTTCAACCGCATATTGTTATTAGGTTTTTATGGACAATTATTCAATAACTTTGTTGACTTTTTCCTGACTAGGATGACCTCAAGGGGCTGGCTATAGAGGACGGGCGATGCTATAATGCATCCATTCCCCAAAATGTTACTTTCGGATGGCAAGGCCTTCCTTTTGGCAGCAACCCATGATTTCAATAAAACGTGTATTTCTCGAAGGACATATCTGGGGACTCCCTTCTTTATTTCATGGCGTTTTGAATTTATCATGTGTGTGTCTGTTTCGAGCTTCCGTTGCAGGTTAAATTGCGAACCAGTCCTGCTCATGCGAATGATTTCTTATTCTATCGTTATAACTGAGCTCGGTACTTAGCTTATTTTTCAATAATGAATGATGAATTTTAATCTCAGTTGAAACAGATTCTTTTCTATTCTGTTTTTTTCTTTTCTTTCTTTTCCATTTTTTGAGAGTGGTGGACTTGTCAAATCCTTTTGAGGGTGCGCTCCGGTCAAAAACGCTACGTGCTCGCATTAGCTGTTGGAGGTGGTTGATTGTCATTATCTTGTCGGACCATATTGTAAGATAGGTTGAACGTGGTTGGGTGTAGTTACTCTGTAACGAAATCAACAACTCAACACCTACTTCCACCCGACGCCCGTCTTGTGTAAATGATGGAGGTGGAAGGTTGGTTGATTGTACACTAATCTAGCCGCGCAGCATTCTATAGGTGTTGTTGGTGATTACTAACACCTACTGTTGGTGATTACTACATCTTGTGGGACGGTTAATCCGTTGTATTCGTGTAGGAAGAGCTAGCTATATATATATTACATATGAGATCACGTGTAGGCGGAGCGGTCGCTACGGCAACGCCACTAGGGCGGATGGCTACACCCCCCCTTGCATCACCATGTGAGATCTCAAACACCACAAAAAGGATCAATCATCTCTTGCAAATCTAGCTATGCCATTCTCAAATCCATCTAAATCATACTATCTGCATTGAGTTTGTGTATTTCATTTCTCTTCATCTGTAAAACCTAGTAAATTCAGAAATTAATGAAATACAATTTTACTTAAGAATTTAGTTAATTCATCTGCTGCTATTTCTTCAGTTGAGATGTAATTAATTAAGATTATGTCATTGTTCAACTGACTGTGAGTGTAATAAAATCAGATATCAATATACTTGCTTCTCACAGTGATTACAGTCACTGTAACAAGATCAATTATCTTCTTATTATCTATCTTAATTAACAGAGAGTCTTCTATTTCAATGAAGCTCAGATTCATTATCATACTTCTTAATTATATTGCTTTGTATACAGCTTCACTCAACACCACATATTCAGCCTCATTAGAGCTTAAGAATACACAGAGTTGCTTGCTTAATCATTATAAAATCAGTGTATTTCTTAATTTAAAGACATAACTGAATGTAGATTTATAATTATTATTCAATGAGCTAGCTCAATCAGAATCTGTATATCTGACTAGCATGTATATCATATTCAGGAATTCATTCTCAGATTTCTCATCATCATTCTTTGCATAGAATATATCAATCTCATGTATTTCTTTTAAATATTAAATAACATGTAATAGAATCTTTCATATCTTAGAGATGAGAGCAGTGTTCTTCTACATCAGTAAAGATACTGCACAGATGATATTCAGCTATAGCTTAATAGCTAAGTATTACAGACACTCAACATTATACTGAAATTATTGCTTTGTAAAACTGCTTTCTTTTTCAGAAATAGAGAAGTTATCTAGATATAGATTCTTATTTATAAGTGTACAGACAGCAGTTATATCATCTAGATGAAAATCTTCTATCAATTAATTAATATAATATCAGAGTGTTAATTTAATTCTGCTCTTTATACATTTCACTTTCATTTCCAGATATTTTATAAGTTTCTTTAAGTCTTTGATCTCTAGTTTTTATTGCAAAATGTCAATAAGTTAATCAGCATTCTTCAGAGTATTCACAAAGATATGAAGATTATCAATATATATGATTATATACAAGTGTTTTCAGGCTGAATGCTTTCAAAGAGCAGAGTCATAAGAACTCAGACTGAAGTCATTTTCTCACAGTATAGCTGTCAAGTAGTTATACTATATTTTAACAGCTAAATTCAATCTGTATAGAGATTCTTCAACTGCATAGATAAGTATATACTGAGCTTCTTATTTAAAGTCTATGAGTTATCTTATATAGACTGTTTTCTCTAATCTATCATACAGATATGTCATTACTATATTTACTTACTGTAGAATTCAATTACACTTTGCAGTGATTATAAACATCATTAAATTTATTATATCTGTAACTACAGTGGTGTAAGTCTTCTGATAAGTGTCTTTCTTCAATTAGTTATTATATACAACTTATCAAGATTTTTACAATATATTATTCTTATCAGTATTGAGATCATCAGAGCAGTTCTTTTTAATAAATACTCAATAGTCAGATATTACTGATTCATTATATGAGATATCAGAATGTAAAATAAGTATTCAGATCTTGTATCTCTCAAGATCAGATATTTCATATTGTATTAATTTCTTTCAATAATCTTCTACTCTCTCATATCTATTCATAGCATTCTTATGTGATTTTGAAAGAAAATTGATAATGAGAGTGAAAGTATAAGCTGTAAATGCCTTTACAGACTGCATTCAATCTGTATTTATCAATTCAGAAATGTTGAAATTCTTCATTAAATAGATGATAGAAACAGTATCAGTTACTGCAGTTATAGTAGTTGTAGTAATCTTCAGCATTTCTTATACTTTTGTGAGAAAAACTACATCACTTGTGTCAATAATTTTATCTGTTGTAGAACTTCATGAGTGATAGATTGAATATTCACAGAATCTGATAAGCTTATATAAATCAGTCTATGTGAACAACTTATTCAACAGCTTCTGTGATTCATGAAGATGAGTAAAAACATCAGTTTCAAGCTCACAGAAATGTGTGATCTGTGGCAGAGTATTCATCAATACTGAAAAAGAAATCATATAAGAGCTATAAACAGCCTCTTTACTATCATTATCTGCAACTGCAGATCAATAATTCTCATTATATAGAACTGTAGATGTAGGTGTATTATTTATAATTAAAATAACTGTTTTCAGAATATCTGCTCAGAATTTCTTTGAGATCTTCTTGTCAATGAGAACTGCTCTGACACAGGTTATAATCATATGTATTCCGCGCTCAGACACATCATCTTAATATGATAATTAAGAAGTAGTTGATTTTCATACTGTGTTATAATTAGACTGGCCAGCAGGACCATGAATTTCACATTTGATCTTATTTGGTCTGATCTCATACATTTCTTAGCGTGAGTCCCACCAGGACCAAGCATCAAAAAATCTGAAAATGAATCATTTCTGAGAGAAATGATGTGAAAAATGACCAGATTTAATGCAAGAACAGTGAAATAAGAGTAATTTCTTAGAATAGACTGTGAAAGATGATAATTCTTCTAAAATCAGAATAAGACTGAGACTGAAGATTAAATTCAGTCTCATTCAGTTCATTTAGTGATTACTTATATAATCAGAATTTGATAATAATTATTGATAATACTCATAAAACAACTAAATATATTCTTATACAAGTTTATTCTTCACTTTCTTATGAAAACTACACTTCTCTGATATACTGTGATCAGAGGTATTAAACTGTCTGATAATTTTATATTTTATAATCATGAGTTTCTTAATTATTTCTTCTTATAATTGTCTCTGATAATAGTGATAAATATCTCAGCTTGAGTTGAACTATCACTTCATTCTTATCTCTGTCAGTGAAATTATCAGAATATTATATATTATCAGTGTAATAGTTGAATATGTACTCTTAATAATTTTTCATAACTCTATAATTGATTTAATGTGTAAATTTATCAGATCATCTTAAAGATAGCAGTTAAATTCAGTTTTATAAGTGTATAGTTTTACCTGATTTTCAGTTATAATTAATATATATAAGTTCTGTTTCAAAGTTAGTATTATAGTTTTATATGATATGAAGTATTATTAAAGATTATTACTTACTAGAGAATTGTATTTCACTGTCTTCATATCTTTAATATCTGTTCATTCAAATCTCTGATAGTTGATATTATAGTAGTCTCAGACTAATTTAATATACAAGTCTTATTTCTTCTCTGTTCAATCTTGAGAAGTGTAGATATTAACTTAATAGAAGAAATCTAGTAGAGCTGCTATAGTATAGTACTCTGTAAAAGATTGTTCAGTTTTGTTATAATAATATACCAGTTTATCTCTTACAGTAATAATAGTCTGTGCTATAATATTATCTCAGACTGAATTTCTTTTTAAGTGATTCAACTGCTTCTCAAGATAAATAAAAAAACTGTTATATACTTATCAGACTGACTGCAGCATTGATGTATAAGTGATTAAGACTGTCTTCATTATCTTATAAAACTGAAACAGTAAACTAATTATATATTTCAACTGAGTTCACTTCATATTAGAAAGTTTCAATATCTGAATCTTTTCTTAATCAGAGTGTTATAGTCAATGATCAATTATCTAATACAATTAAAGAGTCTGAATAGTTATCTTATATATTGAACTTCACTGTATTTTAACATTCTATATTATATTCAGTGATGTGACTTATTTATTTATTTATTAAATATTATGAAATTATTATTATTATTTAGAGAAGATACAAATTATATTAATAATATTTTAAATCTGTGATATTTAAATTATTAGTCAATCTATTCAAAATTAACAGTAGTATTATTAAAAAGTATTATTAAAAAATATTATCTTTTATAAAGTAAATATAAAAGTTACTGGAA